TGCGGGAGGGAAAGCTGTGTGAGAGAGAAGGAGGAATGATGGAGGTATACAAGTGATGGTGATGGATGGGGTTATTGTAGTGGAGGGTCTGAAGAAGGAGGAGGAGGAAGAGGAAGAAGGAGGTGGTGGAGGAGGAGGAGGAGGAGGAGGAGGGGGACGAAGAGGAGGAAGAGGAAAGAGATGTTATCGTAAGTGGTCAAGTACAGGTAGGAGAGGTATACTGGGAGGTGATCACTGGTCAGGTGTGGAAAGTGGAATAAGAGGGGGGAAGGGAGTAAAGGAGGAGAGGGTAGGAAAAAGATAGAACCCGGAGAAGAAAGGGAAGTAAGAGAAGAGTGAAGGGAGAAAATGAGAGAAGAGAAGAGAAAGTGGGTAATGGGAGAGGAGGAAAGAGAGGGAGTTTAGCGACCTTGGGGGAAGGGTGAGCATGGGGAGTGATGGAGGGAGGGAGGGAGGGAGTATTAAGGGCGAGAAGGGAGGGAAGTTGATGGAGGGAGGGAGGGAGGGAGGGAGTATTAAGGGAGAGAAGGGTGAGTATGAAGGTTACTACAGTGTGAATGAAAGGATGAAAGAAAATAGAGAAAGAATAAGGAAAGAAAATAATCGTTAAGATATAAAAAAAAGATGGTGCAATTGAAAGTAAAGATAGAATGAATGGAGGAGAGGGAGAGAATTAAGACACATATAGGTGATAGAAGAGAGGTGGCAGAATGAGGGAGGGAGAGAGGGAGTAAGGGTGAGGCAGAATGAGAGATAAAGAGAGTTAAAGAAGAAGAACTCTGATTAAGGAAGAAGGGAGATAAGGGAGAGGATGAATAATAGAGAAGATGTGAGAAAGAGGGAGAAAGAAGAGGAAGAAATGTTGTGAAGATGATAAATATAAGGACATAGAATAAGAAGGAGCGCGAATGAAAGAGGAAATGAAAGAGAGAGAGAGAGCGTGGGCAGGAGGGAAGTAGACAACGTGGAAAGAAGAAAAGGAATGAGAGAGGGGATGAGGGAGATATAGATGGCGGCGAAAGTAGAGAGAGAGAGAGAGAGAGAGAGAGAGAGAGAGAGCTACTCGACTAATGGCTCAGAGTTACACCTTCATACTCTCATTACCAGCGAACACCCTCCAGGTAGGTACTCGTACACGTCATGGCTAATGCACTATCTTATCTTCCTGGCCTCCTGAAACTTCTCCAACTTCTCCAACTACTACTACTACTACTACTACCACTACTACTACTACTACTACTACTGCTGCTGCTGCTACTGCTGCACCACCGGGTTAATAATCTCTGACCTGGGAGTAAATGCCTTGGTGTATTCACTTCGTGTGTGTGTGTGTGTGTGTGTGTGTGTGTGTGTGTGTGTGTGTGTGTGTGTGTGTGTGTGTGTGTGTGTGTGTGTGTGTGTTGGAGCTGAACTATATTACCTCAAAGAGTAATTGCATTTCCGTTGTCTGTGTGTGCGTGTGTGTGTGTGTGTGTGTGTGTGGCTGAATTATTATATCAAAGGGTTAAGGGGGGTGTCTGTATCTGTGTCTGTGTTTAATAAATTCTGGCTTGTTATTTACACAGCTTGACACCCTCACTCATTGGTCATCAGATAACAGCATACACACAGACAAACACACACACACACACACACACACACACACACACACACACACACACGGACGTGTTTGGACTGGTTTAGTGAGTAATTTACACACGCTAATTACACCTTGACGAATGACCAGGTGTTAGTTAGGTCGTGTCAATACTCGTAGTTCAGAACAAGTTGGCTTAATGTTCCGCTAAGACGACAACACGACACCACAGCAGGGGAGGAGACCAAGTGAACGACCGATAGACGATAGATGATGGAAGGACGACAGGGAGAGAAAACTGGGGTGAGAGCAGAAGGGAGGAAAATGGGAAGAAGAGGAAACAAAGATAGGAGATGAGATAATGGTATTTGGAGAGGAAAAACAGGTTTATGGTGGAACTGGTAAGATGGTGATGGCAGGGTGGTGGTGGTAGTGGTGATGGTGGCAGGGTGGCGGTGGCAATGGCGTTGGTGGTGGTGGTGATGGTACAGAACTTCGAAAACCTAATCATAACTACAGTAATATGTTACGTGTGATAGATAGATAGATAGATAGATAGATAGATAGATAGATAGATAGATAGATAGATAGATAGGAAGGAAGGAGAAGATAATCGGCTAAAGCGAGGAATGTAGGTGAGGGGGGGGGAGAAAGGAGAAATGAAAGGAAAGACGGAGTAAAGCAGGGAGACAGGAGATGGGAAGGAGTGAAAGGAGTGCAAGGAGGTGGAAAGCGGCAGACAGGTGAGAAATGAAGGCGAGGTAAAGGAGTTGGTCGTGTGTGTGTGTGTGTGTGTGTGTGTGTGTGTGTGTGTGTGTGTGTGTGTGTGTGTTATTATTAAACCCACCATGCATGCCGACGGGGGTATCTTTTTATCGTATATTCTGTCATTAAATCTGTTTGTCTGTGAACATAATGCACATAAAATAAAATAATAAAATTAGTCAGTCAGTCAGTCAGTCAGTCAGTCAGTCGAATCATATAACACCACCACCACGCTAAGAACTGACTAATTAAGGAAATAAGTTTATAATTTATCTGTTAAAAAATGGATGCTGTGACCTAGACAAGAATCAGTCCTAAGCTCCTGAAGGTGTAAAATGCTAACCCAACCAGTCTCTCTAATAACGTGTGACGGATCATGGATTTACACTTGGGATTCTGAGACAAAGATGGTGTCTGGATGTGAGAAGTGCCACAGATCATCACCACAATCCATCATCTGCTGCCAAGGTTAGGTTAGGTTAGGTTTGGACTGTGAGGGATGCAACACGTACCAGAACATCAGGGATAAGCGAAGTTGTAGGAGTATTGACCAAGATGTTGTGTTGATGAGCTGAGGTAACACGGGTTTATATCTTAGGTTTATTAATGTACAGTATATATGAAGATCTTTCTGTGTGGTAAGATGTTCAGTTATGATGGTGAGGTGAGACGGTTACCTTAGGCGTGGGTACAGAGGCGGATAAAAGACAGACCTCTCTTGTTCTTGGTGCAGGGGAGTTGGACGGTAACTAATGGATGTGTTTTGTCGCCTGAGACTAGTGTGATCAATGCTGAAGTCTGGTGGTTATTATTTTGCTTTTGTGTTTATTTTCTCAATGAATTTATTCACCACCTTTTAATATATTTGATGAAAGATATTGTGTAATGTTTAGATAAAACCACTCACACATAATAATGGATGGCCGGCCGAAGGGTCACCAAGGCGTGAATTTGTTTAAGGTGTAGAAACTGTCGCCAACACAACAACCACACCCTGAGTTAACGACATGCATGACCCAGTGTCAAGGAATAGTTCTAGAAGACCGGACAACTCGCCAACTGCACTGGCTAACCATTACCCCGGAATACGATCCACAAATCAATTAACATCCAGGTTCCCAATTACTGCTGGGTAGACAGAGGGAAATGGCGTAAAGAAATTTGCCCATAGTTTCACCCTGCCCGGGGATCGAACCCGGGTCCGCTAGCTTGCGAGGCAAACATGCTGACCACACACACACACACACACACACACACACACACACACACACCAAGAGAGGCAGTTCATAATAATTACATCGTACCCCACAAAAAAAAGTGAAACTCTTTTTTGCGTCAAATCTAATTAGCAAAAACTTCATCGTTCCATAGAATCAACATTTAATTAAGGAACTTTGATCCCTCACAAGGTTGTCCTCAAAGGCTCCTTATACCAACAAGTTTCCACCGCCGTCGACCGCCTCATACTCTCACGTCAGGCAAAGTTCCTCCAGCGAGACTAATCAAATTTACCCTTATAATGTTTGTCCTTCAGATTAATATAAGATTTTTTTATTATTTTTTTTTGGTTCTTGATCTTTTTATCGTTCAAGTTTGTTCTCTCAAGTTTGTTTGTGGGAAGTTTGTTGAGCCTTAGTGACGGAATTTCGGTTTATATTTATATTAGGGAGACGTATTTTGACCCATCGTGACTGAATCTCGTTTTATTTATATTTTTTATGGTGTAGAGGAACTATGGTGAAAAATGTGGAGGTGAGTGGTGTTGAATTACCGGACTGTTGAGAGTTAATTAAGTTTTATAGATGTTGAGGGGAAAAAGGGGGAACTTGACGAGGGTAATTTCCGACTTTATTCCTTGAACTTCTCTTTTCTTGATTTTGTTGTGATATCTCTCTTTGCCTTTGGTATTCCGGTGTAACTTTTTTTTTTATCAAAGTCCAATGAGGTTCTGCTGATAGATACCTTATGACGTAGATAGAAACCTTATGACGTAGATAGATACCTTGTGACGTTGATAGATACCTTATGACGTAGGTAGATGTGACGTAGATAGATACCTTGTGACGTAGATAGATACCTTGTGACGTTGATAGATGCCTTGTGACGTTGATGGAGTATGACGTGAAGATACTTGTGACGTTGATAGATACCTTATGACGTAGGTAGAGTGTGGACAGGTGTATTTTTTTCAGGTGTTGATACCGTATCTTATTCAGTGTTCGTCTTACTCTCTACCTGTCACCTCCTCCCACCCTCCTCTCCCTATCTCTCACCCTCTCTCACTTCATTTTATACACCTCTCACCGTCTTCCTCCTCACTCTCTACCTCTCACCTCCTCCTCCTCTCTACCTTTATCTCCTCCTCCACACTCCTCCTCTCTACCTGTCACCTCCTCCCACCTCTCTCTCCCTATCTCTCACCCTCTCTCACTTCATTTTATACACCTCTCACCGTCTTCCTCCTCACTCTCTACCTCTCACCTCTCTACCTCTCACCTCCCTCCTCACTCTCTACCTCCTCTGCCACCTCACCACTCTGCCGCCCTCAATATATATTTACAAGAGAACATTATCTTCAAGATTATCTATATAATATGAATCGTATATAATCCTAAACGATATATTATAACATCATGGTAATTATCTTTCTTTCTTTCAGTCAGGTCTTGCTGTCGAAGAGTCTGACGCCCTTCTACAACGAGCTCAGAGTAAGTGTTTGATTAATCTCAGTAAAAAAGTTTCTGTGATTTTCCCTGGACCCAAGAAGGTTACAAATGTGTTTATGAATTAGTTATCAGATGTGTTAGTGATTTATGGCGTGTTGTTAAACTAGAGAGCCAGGGGGTGCAAGGAGGAACCCGTGGCGTGATAGGGCCAGAGACGCGGGGATATGATTATTATTTTTTTTTTTGGGGGGGGGGGCTTTCCACGGATAATGGCTAGTTTATTGTGCATCCCGTAATCGTCTTGTGAATGCCAGAACAAAAATGATTACAGAGCAGGTGTCAAAAAGGGTGTTGGTCAGACTCCAGTGGTGAGGATACTGTGACGTTGAAATTTGATTGTATGTCACCGGGTATTTTCAGTATAATGTCTGTATAGTTCTTGACATAGGAATTGGCTTAATGTATTTACTGGGTACATAATATGGGTTGTATATTTATTCCTTCTATCTTACTTACCCTCAGAGTTCATTGCACACACAGTATTTGTTCTGTTGTTCACGGTGTTCTAGTGTGTGGGCGGGTGTGTGGGCGGGTGTGTGGGCGGGTGTGTGGGCGGGCGTGTGAGAGTCGTGGTGGCAAGAGAGGAGGGGGGTGGATACAGTTAAAGGGTTCGTGCTTACCAGTTAAGAACTACGTAAGGGCCGGTAGAGGAATAAAACTTCTATCGGACTCGAAAAAATCACATGAGTACCTCAGTCAGTCAGAAGTCAGGTAATGCGTTCATAGAGCTTACAAACGCATCTTGAGACAAAAATGGCGCTCCGTGACCCATAACATAAAACGGTGACTTATCTGAGAACACGGGGGAAGATAGCGAGGTATTTCGTCTTATCTCTCGACAGCAGTTTAGACCTGACCTTGTATGAACGATGGTTACACCTGACCTTGTATGAACGATGGTCCAGATATTGAGTGATAATTATGACCGTCTCCTCCCACCCACAAGGCCCCAGGGAAGGTGAGGAACGGCTGGTGTATACTGAGGTCAAATTCGCTTTATTTTCCCGTAGATGAAAGAGTCTTATAAGGGGGTACAAAGTTAGTATGATACTGTTTTTGGAGTCGTGTGTGTGTGTGTGTGTGTGTGTGTGTGTGTGTGTGTGTGTGTGTGTGTGTGTGTGTGTGTGTAACACCTAAACCTACACTCTAAACATTTCTTTACACACACACCCCTTAAACTGTGTTATGTCTCTTCCACCACATCTCTGCCTATCGGATTACACTGTTCGATATTCACACTTCACTGGCCGCTATTCGGATGTCAATTAAGTTTTATGATGTAATTGCAATAGCTAATAAGACTTCGTTATTGGGGATCCCTCCATAGATTGGTGTGTGTGTGTGCGTGTGTGTGTGTGTGTGTGTGTGTGTGTGTGTGTGTGTGTGTGTGTGTGTGTGTGTGTGTGTGTGTTGAAATTAATTCGCATATACTTGTACGGCTTCCTTAATTCCAGATTTAATTGAAAGTAAATTGACCACTAATGTTATCTGGCTTCCTGGATGACGACGCTGATAGCAAGAATCCTGACTGTGACTCCCCTCTAACCCGTCCAATACTGTGGGGTCCTGTCATGTAGTAGACCAATATATCTAAAGCCTGATACTGGTCAGCTGGGCCCCAACCTCAATGCCCATCAGTCCTTATAAGCCCTAATCTTAATACCCCGCAGTCCTAATAGACCTTTGTCCTAATAGGCTCATGTCCTAATACCTCACAGTCCTAATAGGTCCTAGCCCTATGTGGCCCTAAAAACTGACAATAACTTCATTTATGTAGGATGATCGAATGCCCGAAAGAGATGCGCATTAATCCATAAATGATGTTACTAACATAATGGAATGTTATCGACAAACAATTTCTCCAGGAATTTACGATACCTGGCGACCCTGTATCAGAATGTCTCATGAAGGTCCTACAAAAATTTACCATTAAGATATGAAACGTAGTGGCCAGTGATGTGTGTAAGTCATCGAGAGTTTAATAGATTTGATTATATTTGTTTTTATAAAGTTAAGTCACTTAAAAGTCATCGAAAGTTTGATAGTTAGGATTATATTAATTTTGTATAAAGTCTTTTCATTTAAAAGTCATGGATTACAATTTTTTTTTATAAAGTTGAAGTCATTTTATAGCCAAGTGGGATGTCAGAAGACTCGAGTATATTTCCATTATCACAAAGAGTTGAATAAACTATTTTACTGGTGACAGACGTGTGGCAGCCAGCTCTCCCCGCCAAATTTGATATTTAAATTATGTTCAGCTATTGGATTATTTTTAATTATTCTAGCGGCGTCAAACTGTGGAAAATTGGTCTGAATTCTGTCATGAATTTGTTACAGAAGAGAGAGGAGAGCGTTTGATATGGAAATTATTTAACGCTGAATGTTGTACAAGACACCTTGCTAAATACAGAAAATAGTTTCAGGGAATAATACTGATATGTCGATAAAACTAAATACCAATATGTATTTCCACGCATACTTACATGAATATAAATATTTTGGATGAATACACCAATGAATTCACAGCTTAAATACACGTATAAATTTACATATGCGATGTTTACAATATTAACAAATATTCGTCGTCAGGACACTAACCGGGTCTCTCCCACGGCAGTATATCACAGGAAAATATCTGACGCAGACCTTCACTCTTGTGGTTTAGTTGACCTGTGTGTTATAGGCCTCGCTCCTCCCCACGTCCACCTCTGTGTCACCAAGATGATATCAGTACTAGTCTTATCCACACACACACACACACACACACACACACACACACACACTCTCGAACATTCACACCAGACAAACACTTCTCAGATCATAAAACACAAAAAGCTATTCATTTTGTACACAACATTACAGGCCGTACCAGGTGTAGTACTGAGAAAACTCCCTTACCTTGATAGTCACCTTCTGTCCGCAGCACCACCTTCACCAGCCATAAATATAATCACAAGCGGTAAAATTACGCGTGAAAATAACGAGCCCAGAAGTCAACCAGCAGAACACACGCATGGAAGAGACAAGGGAGAGAAGAAGCACCACGGGAGGGAGATTACGTGAGGGAGGGAGGGAGATTACGTGAGGGAGGGGGGGGGGGAGATTACGTGAGGAAGGATAGGAAGGCTAAAGTCTAGAGTGCATTGACCAGCTTAGCTCAAGAGATAATTTTGACCAATAAGAAGCCCTGCCCCTGGGTTATATTTCTCACCATTAGTATTATGGGATTTCTTTCTCATCATCTGAGTCACTGTTGGAAATATAGTTACTTAAGAGCTTTGTTTCTCATCTTGTTATGGGATATTTTTTTTTTATTTATTTTTAGTAGAGTTAATTTTTTCTATTGTTATTTTTCATCTTCTTTTATTTATGAATTTTGGATTATGATTATTTGTTATTATTATTATTATTATTATTATTATTATTATTATTATTATTATTATTATTATTATTATTATTATTTAGTAGTTGTTAGGTTAGATCAGGTTAGGTTAGGTTAGGTTAGGTTAGGATAAATTACGTCAGGTTAGGTTATTTTGACCAACAGAGCGCTACAAGGACCAGACAAAGTAATTAATAACTGATGGAGAGGAGGAGGGGATGGGGAGAGTCGCTGAACGGAAGGAAGGAGAAAGAGGCGGATGGGAGAAGGAAACTGAGATAAGAGGGGAAAAGACCAAAACAAAACTACAAAGAGGAAATGTAAAGGAAATGGGAAAATAATAAGAAGGGAAAGAAGGGGGGAAGAGAATAAAGAGATGATGTGAAGGGATAGGGGAAAAAGGGAATTATTGCAGGAAAGATGAGAAAAGGTAATGGAGAGAGTAATAGGGAGAGGGAGGATGAGAAAATATGTTGGTGTTTATAGGACATATGGACGGACACTCGGGTTGATGTCCTTAATTACACATATGACATACGAGATGCATCACCTGAGGAAATGTCAAACCAATCAACCAATCAAGTTACGTTATTGATCCACTGTAGCCAAACAGCGACCCACTTTGTTTATTTATTGACAAATCAGGCAACCAGCTAGCCAGTCAATCTACCTACCGATAGTTAAACCAAGAAGCCAACCAAGAAGTCAGCCCAGTCTATTTCCAAACCTACCAGTCGCCCAGTCAACCAACCAGTTTTACCAGCCAACAAACCAACATGTAGTGAGGAGAGGCAAGCAAGTATGGAGGTTGGAAATGTACAATAAGACACAAGGTTTGTGTAGGAGGCAGTGGAGGTGAGAGGGGAGGGGAGGCAGGATGTTCTCGTCCCGGGAGACTTACTTCCAATGGTGGTGATGGTGGTGGTATTCTTGTTGTTGTTGTTGTTGTTTGTGGTGGTGGTCTTGTTGCTGGTGGTGGTCTTGTTGTTGTTGATAGTGGTGGTGGTGATACTATTGTTGTTGTTGTTGTTGTTGTTGGTGGTGGTCTTGTTTTCTGGGGGAGAATAATTCACTAAGAGTTGTCTAATTGTCACCTTTTTCACCTGTCTTGTGCTGAAAGCAAATGGAGAACCTGTGTCTGTGTCTTTTTATCAATTTTATTCTGTGCGCTGATGATCTGAGGAAGTGTGTGTGTCTCTCTCTAGTAGTTCCGCGTGTGTGTGTGTGTGTTGAGTTATACAAGATGCCAGTTCTGTGGAGTAATGACGACAGATACACCGAGAGATATATACAACTTCACGACAAAAGAGAAATTGATGGAATGGTAAATGTTGATGGTGAAGAAGACGTGATCGAGCAACTCTGGGTCATATTACTAATCGAAACATGGGGAGGTTTATTCCAGGTATGGCTGCCGTGTACAATACGGAGGTGTCATCCCACTTGGACGATCGTCTGTTTTATGTCATTTCTATCCTCTTTATTTATATGATCAGGTTACGTTACGTTAAATAGCATAACACAGACGATCATCTAAGTAGGATGTAAGCATATACAGAAGCGGGTTGTAAAGACGTAATAATTAATGTTGTTATGG